CACATTAAAAAACACCAGGGGACAGAGGGTTTACTCACCCCAGCAGGGACCAACAAAATAGCCCTTTTCGCAGAGGACGTACTCCTCTTCCTCACAAACCCTACTCACTCCATCCCCAACCTGATGGAACTTCTTCTACAATACGGACGAGTATCATATTACAAAAACAACCCAACACCTTCCTAAAAAAAACACAAGCACTACCCATAATCATCACCGCAAACGTACTCCAGACCCTTAAAACGAAACACCCCTTCGACTGGAGGAAAACTTCCTTAAAATACTTGGGAATTAATCTGACCAAATCAAACAGCCAGCTGATCCAAGAAAATCATATCCCCTTAACCCACAAACTCCGGGCACAACTAGATGTATGGCAAAACCTAGAAATATCATGGCTAGGGAGAGTAAACACTGTCAAAATTATGGCATTACCCCATATCCTGTACCTGTTCCGCACCATACCCATAACATTAGGCGACAAATTGCTCCAGAGATTCCAGAACATGATCAATGCACACATATGGAAGAAAAAAAAACCAAGAATAGCCAGACGTCTCACCTGGCTGTCTCCAACCAAAGGCGGCCTCGGCATCCCAAACATTAGGGCATACTATAGAGCGGCAGCCCTGGCACATCATGCACTACCCCCCAAATCTGGGACCCCCTAGAAAATGCTTGCATACGACCACACACAAACTCTATGCTACGATCATTTAACTCATGGGAACCTAACAAACATAAACCCATGGCCAGTACGAGATTCTTAATCAATAGCTGGAGGAAATGGGCAAGTTCGCTCACCGGCACGAACAACACTATATACTTTGCCCCGATACAAATAATCTCAGAACTATCGGAAGATATCAATATGGAACCATGGCGACAACAGGTAATAATCTCGGTGGCACAACTATATTCAGAGGAGGGCTTCAAACCATTCCCAGTCCTTCAACAGGAATATGCACTTCCCTCTAGGGACGTTTCACATACATCAGAACCAAACACATCCTCCAATCCCTACAAACCCGCCAACGCCATGAAGCACAACTAACAAATTTTGGGCTATACTGTATAGGCAAACGACCGCAACTAAAACCACTATCCCTCTGCTACACAGCACTGAACGATGCTGATCCATTATGCAAACACAAATACATAGAACAATGGGAATCAGAACTAAACATCAACATTCCCACTCCGATATGGCTGCAAACAATTCAGGCTACAAGAAAAGTGTCCCATAGCCTGACCCATTGGGAGGCGTATTGTAAAATATTGATGAGGTGGTACTTAGTGCCTACCAAGCTAGCGAACATGTACCCATCAGCTCCAAATGTATGTTGGAGATGCAATCTCCACAAGGGAAGCATGAGGCACATATTTTGGGACTGCCCACTACTGAGCAGACTTTGGCGAACGATAGAAAAAGCTATTGGAATATTAACAGTACACAAAATACCGCTTACGCCGGAATGCTACTTACTCCACCTCTCCCCAGAACTGCTTCTAGACAACAATAGACACGTCATTATACACCGGCTAACAGCAACAAAGACTAGTATAGCCAGCCATTGGAAAAACAAACACACCCCCTCCCCTCAGGAAGTGTGGTATAGAATCGAAACTATCTCAGATTATGAATGTATGTCGCACAGATTAGACGGCCAAGCAGAGATATATACTAAAAGGTGGGCAGGTTGGCATACACACCACACTACAGTGAAAAACCTCAAACAAATACTCTAGAGGGCGGGTAAAACATACCAAAACACAACAAACTAAAATGCAGTGAGCTTTAACACTTAGATGTCACACTCGAGTACCATTAGACTATAGGTTAAGGGACGGATACGTTTCTTTGCGCCTAATCTGCAAACTCTCTACCACACATTGAACATTCAATGCTGCAAATTAGGTATACCAGTTCTCCTCCTCCTCCTGTTTTTTCCTCCCCCCTCAACCACAAAGGCACAATTCCCGAGTGCGACAAACACCCAAACCACATATACCCACCTTACCTGAGTCCCAGCTGCAGAAGGGAAAATGGCTGACATTACCGTCAATACCATAAACATAACCATCCTGATTGTTACTATTCCGATGTGTAGCACAAAATATATACTCTACCCATTGTATAAAGCGACTAAGTTGACTAAATGTGGAATTGTGATGAACAGACTGTAATTATTCACCCCTCCCTCTTTTTCCTTCTGTACTCTAATGTTTACCCATTGCCTATGCAAAAAATTCAATAAAAACCAAAAATTAAAGAAAATAAAAATATGATATATATCCAACAACATATCAACAGAAATACTGATCCATATCACCATTTTATACCAATGATTTTTCCCTAGCAAGACATGCATTGTTAACCAGAAGTGTAGATCTGAAATACACTAAAATGGCCTGTACTGTCATTATTAAAGGCGTCATACTTATAATAACAAAGTGTTATATTACTGAGCTAACTTTTTCAGCCTCATGTGTTACATGCCATTAATTTTGTTTGTCTAATATAGGATCACTGATCTTGCAGCATATACACATTGGGGCTTTCGATTATAGTATACTATATATTGTCACCTTTAGATTGAACTCAGTATACCATCTGCAGGAGTGCACATTTAGATATACTTATGTTCACTGGTCACTTTGTGTGTTCACGTAGAATACGTATAATTGATCTTGAAAAAGATCCTATAGGGGTCGAAACGCTGATCAAGGATTTTTTCTCTGCACATGTAATTTGCACCAGTAAATAAACGAACCTTTGAATCAAGACCTGTGAGTGCACCTCTCATCTATTTTTGTTTTATATCTACGCTGAGGTTTGCACCCAGGCGGAAAAAACTTTTTTCATTTAAATAGGGTGAGTGCCAAGATTACTTTCTCTCGCTCTCTCTCTCTCGCTCTCTCTCTCTCTCTCTACGGAATCTGTTGGCGCTATATAAATGGCAATAATAATAATTTTATATATATATATATATATATATATATATATATATATATATATATATATATATATATATATATATATATATAGATAGAATATTGTGTGTATATAATATTAATATCATAACTTCCTTTCTTCAATAATACAAAAAATGTTTACTTCCAATATCCCAACACCTTCCTAAATAAATAACAGGTGTATATTTAAATCTATTTATTTATACATATAAAGAGTTGCATTAACAACGAAACAGCTGTTCACGAGTAGTTCACTGGCTTTGCATTTGTTTATGAGTTGTGTTTCAAAGCTGTTGTATATAGCAAACACAAACTCCAAGGAATCCAATGAAATAATGAGGCAAAAATGTTTTTGCACTAATTTGCATATGCCCACCCAGAATCCTTTGCTGTTGTAGCATCACAGCAAATTTTATATTTCTGTGGAAAAGGAAAGTCTTATGGCTTGACTGGTGTACAAATCTGTCTTTAACAATGTATTGACTATCTACGGACTTCATGTGTAAGGGATTTTCAATCACATTTTTTCCTGACCATAAGTTTCTTTGTTTTGATATACCTATACATATTATCTATTTATAAAATATTTTACCAAGAAAGATACATTGAGATTTCTCTCATTTTTAAGTATGTCCTGGGTCCACAACAAATTGCATTGATACAATAAAATGCAAAAACAATATTAAAACACAATATACACAAAACTTAACATAGAACAGGTAGGAAATATATAATGAACAATAACACGTGCATTCTGTTTTGAGGTATATAGAAAGGGATCTCTTAAAGGACTTTAGGCTTGGGAAGATTTTAAATTGTTTTTAATTATGTGCTCTGTAGGAAAAGGAAGATCGGGCTGCTTTCTTATTGTATTGAGGTAGACTAAAAAAAAAAAAAAAATATATATATATATATATATATATATACATACACACACACACACACACACACACAAAGCTCCTGCACTCCAACTTTAACAAAATAAATACCTGGTGCTCTGGTCACAAAGTATAAATATCAGTAGGGGAGGAGGTCCCAGTAAAGTTCCAGACACGACTGGAATTTGACTGTGCACTCCTCCCCTACTGATTGTTACTGAATCTATTTGAAAACTTCAGCACATGCGTACTGGGGCCGTAACTGTGCAGGGCAATCAGAGGGATGGCACACAGCTGTAACTGTTAGTACCTGCTTTTTTGTCCTATATAAAGCTGAAAATTGTTTTTTTATTACTATGTCCTGATAAAAGCTCTGTACAAGAGCTGAAACATTGACTGTTTGGAACTGTAAGAATAAAGAAGAAATTTTTTTTATTTATTTTTACCAAATCCTGGAGTGCCGGTATTTCTTTAAAAAAAAAAAAAAAATATATATCTATATATCAAAAACTTGAAACTTTTCCGTATACATATATGATATATGTTAGAAGCTAGTGCAGTTTACTGTAATCACTTTAATAATATGCACAGCTAGTAGTTAGCAGTTGTTTCATTATTTCTTAATTCACTGTTTAAGAGATATACATGTAAGAGCGCATACTTAGTGGCTCCTTATAATGAATTTACACTTCACTCCAAGCATATCAGTGTTCACTGTACATTAATATGCAATTTGTTGTTTTGTTTCTGTGTCAGTTGGTATAATTTGGGTTTTATGACGCTCTCTTCCTTAGATAACTGCCATGACATCCGTGGCTATGATGAAGACTGAGCCTTATCGGCACCAGTACCATGTGGATCAACCAATGAGGTAATGCGCCCATGGTTACCCGGGAAACGTTGTGTGCCTCACCTATTGGAACGGTCTCTTTACAGTAGCTAATCACATGTCCATACCCGGAAGTGAACACACAGGCGACCTGAGCGCACCGGGCGTGATCAGGGAATGAGCTCCAGCTGTAAATGTGAGTACTTACCTTAATTTAGCTTCCTATTTAAGCCTTTCCTTTTTTTTTTAAGTGTTGTTAGTGTCCTGATGAAAGCTACACAATGGAGCTGAAACATTGATCTTATCCTCTGGAATAAAGAATACTTTCTTGGAAAGCCCAGGAGTGCTGATATATATATATATATATATATATATATATATATAAAAAATATCGGCACTCCTAGGCTTTCCAAGAAAGTATTCTACATATATCTATATTGAGAGAGATTATTTTTTAAATTATATTTTTAATTTTAATACATATTTTTCATCATTAGATTGGCAATTAAAACACCGATTTGATGACTGAATTCCTTTAAGTGATAGATTTTTCAATATCATAATGACCAGACAAAACAAACTATAATACTCTGGTATTAGAGGTAAGTTAAACATTTCAATTTATTGGTCTCTATGGCAGGCAATGGGTTATTTTATTTTACTAAAATTAGTCTAGGAAGAAACACAATATTCCACTTAGTGGACTAACCAGCATTGATTTCAACAAGTAGCTTTGTACTACTGTCAGATGCTTTTTAGCCATGCATTGTTAGAAACCTTATGTTTCACTAACTTGACATTTCATGCACGTTAACAAACAAAAGGATAAAAACAATAATTGTATGAGTTATTGATATTTTTATTATACATCTGTGGAGTGAATAGAAGCCTCAAATCCCATGTATTTTATTCCAGTGAATTAAAGGAAAGGCAATTGACAGAAATACACCCAAAAACACGTAAGATGGTTTCAGAACAGCTTTCACAAAAGATATAGAACAAGTTAAATAACACGGTTTTAAATGCCAAGTGTCGGGATCGCTTTGTTTAAAAAATAATAAAAATATTTTTATTTTTTTTAAATAATTGCAACTCAAACTTCTGTAATCAAAAGTTGGAAACTTGCAAGCTTTAAGATATGGAAAACACAAAAAAAGTACATAGGTCATAAAAATTTCACTTATCGTTAAATTTTTTAAAACATTCATTGCATTTAATGAAACAATGATTTTTTTTTTTGATTTTTTTTATTCGGTATATTGATTTCTTTGAGGAAATTTCACTTTTTTTTATTTGGCCCAGCAGCCATGTTGGGTCTGATTTTAGTGTTATCCGATCAACTGCTGCTGAACCTAATTTACCTGTTGCCTGCTGTGATTGTTTGTGTAAACCATTAAACTTATTTTAAAAAAATCTAGAAGAGAAAATTTAATCGTTGCAATTTAAAAAGAAACATTACCAGTAAAGCAAAAAAAAAAAAATACAAAACCAACAATTTATGGAGTAAAATATAGGTTTTGCGCGGACACGATTTCCAATGGTTCAGGAATATAGAACAGAACCCAATTCTATAAGACAGAAGACTAACGTGAACCCAGAGCCGGCCCAAGACATACACTTTCTTCTTTTTATGATATAATATTTTTTTTTTTTTTTTATTGGGTGGCTCATCTGATGTTAATATACATCTATATTACAATTTATCTGTGTGTCAGTTACAAACATCAATATGCATTAGACTTTTTCATCAGTTTTATTCTGTTTACAGTTACTGGTATAAAACAACAAAGATGTTACAGGATGATGGACTTTCAACAGCAGATATTAAAGAAATACTATAGGGTCATGAACACAAACATGTATTCCTGACCCTATAGTGTTAAAACCACCAGTTAGCTCCCCCTTGCCCCTTAATTATATTAAAATGTTATTGTTACTCCGGTCTGCTGGTGCTGGCTCTGCCCCTGATCTGCCTCCTTGGCTAACACCGTCAGAAGTTGAGTACTGGGCCAATCACAATGCTTTCCCGTGGGAAAGCATTGGATTGACTGGACTTGTCAAGGAGGCAGATTATGGGGCAGGGCCAGCAAAAGCCAAACACAGTCCTAGCCAATCAGCATCTCCTCATAGAGATGCATTGAACCAGTGCATCTCTATGAGAAAAGTTCAGTGTCTCCATGCAGAGGGTGCAGACACTGAATGTGCAGCATTGCCCGAGGAAGCACATCTAGCAGCCATATGATGAGCTGTTAGAGGAGGTATCCCTAGGCTGTAATGTAAACAATGCATTTTTCCTCAAAAAACCTGTGTTTACTGCAAAAAGCCTAAAGGGAATGATTCTATTCACCAGAACAAATACAAGAAGCTGTAGTTCTGGTCACTATAGTGTCTCTTTAATTGCTGGCCTCAGGAAGAAGAGATTCAACACAGTCTGAGAACAGACTGACAGAAAAACCCTGTGGTCTTGTGTCTACTATTCTATATAGCTATGACCATAACAATGTCAGATATTTTAAATATAACTCTGGCCATATAAGAACAAGACCCTCAATCACCACATTCCAGACTTCTCAGACAAATACTTATTAATTCCATCTGTTACTTATGTCACCCCAGACATCTATACCCAATATGATAAAAACATAGAATATGTAATATTCTGCAGCCTCCCACCACCACATAAACCATGCCACCAAAACACGTCCACATTTAATATGTTGGATCATATAATAATACTTAAAACTGAAATAAAACATATTTAGAGCAATAGAGGAATGCATGCTAATTACATTTAAAGACATTACAATATATATCAGACATGGCCAAACTGCGTCCCGCAAGCTGCATGTGCCTCTTTAGAGAGTTCGATGCGGCTCACAGCACTTTTCAGAGCTGGCGCTGCCATAAGGCAACACTGGCAGCTGTCCTTAGCACGCACTAGCCAGGTGGCATCTGGCTGATTGGCACAAGAGGAGCACACAGCACAGTGCTCCACTCCTACCAGTCATTCCATATAGCTTGGCCAAGCTGTGGAGCAGAGTCGAGGAGATTGTTTCCCTCTACCACAGGAAGTGAGTGCACTGAGAGCAAAGACTTGCTTCCCATCAGACCAGGTAGAGGGAAGCAAGCTCCTTTGCCTCAGTCCGCCGCTTGGCCACAGTACACGGAGGCGGTAGGCTGTCACATGGTGGGAGAGGGGGGGTAAAACACATGGGGTGCTAAGGAAATGAGACACATGAATGGAAGTACTGGGGGGGGAATGAGGCATGAATGGAGGTGCTGAGGAAGAATGAGTCACATGGAGGGCTGGGGGAATGAGACATATGAACACATGGGGGCTGGGGGAATGAGTCACATGGACATATGGAGGGTTGGGGGAATGAGATACATGGGTACAGTGGGGAAATGGGACACATGGGAACACTGGGGGAATGAGAAATATGAGTAGAGGTGCTAGGGGTGGAATGAGATACATGGGGACATTGGGTTAATTGGACACATAGGGACACTGGAGGAATGTGACATGAATGGAGGTGCTGACGGGAAATGAGACTCATGGGGAGACTGGGGAAATGAATATTGGGGAACAATACTAAATATTGTTATGTATCATGCTTCTTAGACATGTTTGCCTAACCTATGTGGGAGTATACCTCAGTACTCGAACTACTGCTAGAACCTTTTCTGTATTGTTTTCCATTACCATACAAAAACAGAAATCAAGAGAACAAAATTAATAAGCGAGAAAAAAAAAAAAAAAAAAGATTTGCCTCAATAAAACAAACATTGACAAAATAAGTAAATAAAATAAATTTTTATTGATTTTGTTCTATGTTATTAATTTAGCTTTCTTGATTTCCCTCTTATATACAAGATAATTAAATAGAAAGAATTTTAAGTGCTAGGCATTTAACCCCTTAAGGACGGAGCCAAATGTACACATTGTGAACAAAACAAAATGTAAACAAAACCTGGCATTTGTGCTACATGTCTGTCCAACCGTAATTCACCTCTTTCATAGTAAATGCACCCACCCTTATTATATATCATTTTATTCAGGGGAAACAGGGCTTTCATTTAATATCAAATATTTAGCTATGAAACATAATTTAATATGAAAAAAATGGGAGAAAATACGTTTTTCTTGGATTTTTTTAGTTCTACATGACATTTTAACGGTCAATGTCATAATACTGTTTGCTTTTACTGCAATAAAATACACATATTTGTATTCAGCAAAGTCTCACGTGTAAAACAGTACCCCCTATGTACAGGTTTTATGGCGTTTTGGGAAGTTACAGGGTCAAATATAGCACGTTACATTTGAAATTGAAATTCGCCAGATTGGTTACGTTGCCTTTGAGACTGTATAGTAGCCCGGGAATGAAATTTACACCCATAATGGCATACCATTTGCAATAGTAGACAACCCAAGGTATTGCAAATGGGGTATACATACATAAAATGGGTGGAGCTTCTCAAAATAACAATATTCTGTAAAATAGAATATAAACCATAGTGCAATACAGTCATATAAATAAAATGAAAGTATATATGTAGCAGGTATTCCACTCACAAGCCTAGAGTCATAGTTTCATATGACTCAGATGATATGTGCCTTTGGACCAATTTAAGATGTCCAGATCCTTCTTTCTTGCAGGATTCCGTCTGTGACCACCTTTAACCAATTTCCAGACCAAAAGATGTCAGGTCAACAGTAGGTTTCTAAAAGGTTGGTACTTTATTTAAAATAAAAATCTTTTAAAAGAAATAAACACTTAAAATCAAAATAAAATGAAACAACTTTAAATGGGGCTATATAGTCCTTGGTAATCGCCAAAACGCGTTTCGCCTGGTACAACAGGCTTCCTCAGTCGGCTAAAATGTCCACTGCTTAGTCTCTTCGGTTATTTAAACAGTCCGCTCAATTTTACTTCCGGGTTCCGGTTTTCGCTTCCGTGGAACGCAGTCTTGCGTTCCACTGATATCACTTCCTGTTCCGTCACTTCCGGGTTAGTGTCTTATTCGGTTGGAACGCAACATGCGTTCCAATCGTACCATTTCCTGTTTCGTCACTTCCGGGTACTACTCTCGGTTAGTTGGAACGCTCAATGCGTTCCACCAGCAACATCCTCCATTCTTTTCGTTCGATCCACTCTGGCAACTTATTTTTCACATATTTCTATGTATATATTGATGTACTATATTAGTATATCATTATTGTGGAGGTCTGTTCTATATACTATTTTACATATGTTGGTAAACTCTACATACATATTGAAAGATCCCAATCTACATTATACAAGACATTTTTCTTAAGATGTTTTTATAGGGAAAGAGTGATTTCCATATTTTAAAGTGCTCTTATATTATAAAAGTGATACAAACATTTCCCCTTAAAGTGCTTTTATATATTGAAGTGCT